GGAAAAGAAGGTGTGGTCATGACATTTTTGTTATTAGTAGTACGAAAACCTCATCATAGCATAAATGCTATTATATGTGCTCACAGTCGCCCCCTTCATCTCTCATAATTGGTGACTGGAAGTGGACGGCAAATACTGAAAAGATGGGGTTGGGGGGTTTGCTGACACAGACATTGGGGGAAAAAGGATAGCCCCTACACCCCCCCCCCCCTCTGTATCTGCCACTGCCTATAGCTGGACAGCTACTTACCTGAAATACATTGCTGAGAAGATTATAGGTATGGCATTTCAGTGCAACATGCATCTCTTACACGGGGATTTCTGTGAATAAAAACATAAATAATTTATTGTTAAAACTAGTTTACACAGAGCATGCAATGAAGGCAGGATTTAAGGCTAAGTATTTTAACACGATGGTGTTAGAGAACTTGGGTCGCAGAAATTCTGCTGACGGCGTCGGCACCGTTGGTTGTAAGTGAAAAATTGACAAAGAAGCATATAAAATAAAAGCATAACATTTTCAGACCCATTGAGGATCGTGTCTGGGCTGTTCAGGTAGCAAACAGGTGTCCTACTACAAAGCCAAGATGTTACTTTCTGCTGATTTGGAAAAAACACTACATAAATGCCATGTAGTGGAAGGAGTTTCCTTAACGCATATTGTTCGACAGGTGTAACGACGAAAACGAGCCCATTCGGCGATTTGTAGGCACAATTGGGAGGCCATCCAGATACCTTGAAAAAGGCCGGGATAGTGCAGCCATTGCCGCTAAAAACACAGAAACTTTCAAACAGCTCTAAAAATTGGACAACTATGTCTATCTAGCAGAAAACATATCGTGTCTTTTCAGAAGCATTGATCAAACAAACGCTAAATAATGTACTGCCATCTGTGAGGCATTGTGAGACTCTTTATGGCTTCCAAATGGGCAAGCGCGCAGCGTGTATCTTGGAGGCCATGCGACTCTTGCTTTAGATAAAAAACCTGTATGTTCCATTCGAGCACGCATGCGTGTATGTGTGTCTGTGTGCCATCTGTGAGACATTGTGAAAAACATGTCTCGACTACAGCAGAGCGCCGTTCTAGCAGAGCGAAGTAGCCACACTGCACAGTCACTGCGTTACTATAGATACGTCACGCTTGCGCGTGTGCACGTTTGTGTGCGTGTGTGTGTGTAACAAAACACATGAATAAGTATGCACTTAGTGGTTGAAGGGCACTAGGGGCCGGATTTCGCTATCGCGTTCAGCTCTTAAAGGCGAAACTTAAGGATACCCCAATTTTTATAGTTTACATTGAAAGGAACCCCAAAATAAAATGTCTTTGCAGCTCATACATATTATACAACATCGTCCTATTGTTTCGGGTGCCTTCCACTCGAAACGAAAGTAAATGCTAAGCTTCAGTATTGTTACTCTAAATAAATTAGCTGTAGATTGATATGTGAGGTTTAATGTCCCAAAACCACCATATGATCATTAGAGATACCGTAGTGGACGGCTTTGGAAATTTGGACCACCTGGGGTTCTTTAACGTGCACCCAAATGTGAGCACACGGGCTCACAGCATTTTTGCCTTCATTGAAAATAAATTAACTGTTGAGAAGATGTATAGTAAAGCTGTTTAGAAGATATATGCTGCTAGGAGTGTCTATCATTTTGTTCTGTGAAGTAATGCACTATCAAAGTTGTTGCCACTAAGCTACCCAATGTTTACTTTTTGATTGTCTTTTTTTTTTTTTCACTTTTTGTTGCCACAGTATGGCCTGTCATACTCATAGGTATGGGCCGTGTTTTCAGACCACAACTGCCAAACATCTTGTGAAGCATAGACTGATAAGTTTCGAAGCACTTCTTTCAGTAGTTGGGGTTTTTCACCTGTGCTTAGCTGGCAACAGGTGGGTTTGATGATTATGCTGCAGGCTGTAACTGGGCAGCTTTATAGTGAAAGGTGTTATGATTTAACAACAACAGTCGTTTTTGGCACCCTGGTTGCCTGCCGCCACTGGTGTTCATAACAGCTATAGCGCGAAATAAGAAAAAACCAAGTCTTTCAGCTGCCACTGTGACTTCTGCACATTTCGCACAGGCCTGGCTTTTTTTTTTCTCGTTTCGTTCATTTTCTTTTTTTTCTTGTGTGATTCTTGTGCATGTTCATATTGCATATTTGCAGTTATTTTCGGTATAGGATTGAAATTTTGAATAACACAATATAAACTCAATTTTAAGTCATAGCATACATGGTTGCCATAATTTTTGCAGCAATGTTTAATAGGTCGTACAGCAGTGTCTAAAAGCAATATAAAGTCACAGTTACAATGTGTAAAAAAATTACAGTATGATAAAAAAAATTTCTCTGCAGCACTGTGTAGTGGTCACATAATTGTTAAAGTATGTTAAGAAAGTTATGATATTTGATAATTGTCTTCATGAAGCCTGGAGTTTCTACTTGTCTCTGCTTGGTGAAATTGCACAGTGGCTGTCATATCGTATGTGCACTTGCTGTAGCATTGTTTCCTTGTTTCTTTACAAAAAAATTTATGAAGCCTTAGCTTTAAACTCCAAGTGGTTACTTGAGGAACTGACATTCTTGCAGAAATAAAAGAAAAGAAATTGAGGGGACCGTTCTCTGTTGCTGCGTAAGAACTCGGTAGCCTGTGATGACATGTAGAGAACAACAGAATAATAAAGGAAACCAGATTGTCGGAACAACTACTATTCTTGTTTATTTTATTTACAGTGAAAGCAGTAATTAGATCACAAGAACAACAACCGGTTTTGGTGGCATAGTTTTCCACTGCCACCTTAGTGTCTGTTACTACTATTGTGCACAATGAGAAAAAAAAATATCCAGGATCGAGCAAGATTTGAATGCAGGCCATTTGCATGGCAGTTCTGTATTCTACCACTGTTCCACACTGGTGCTTGTAAATTGTTTTGATGAAAAACAGCTTATACAGGAGCCATGCCGGGCAAGGGATCATGGTAACAAATGTAATATAGAGTGGTAAAAAAAGAAAATAAGGACTAAGTGTCACACAGTTTTAACTGCATAAAGAGCGGGCAGTTCAAAGCATCTCGCCCTTTACAAATGGTTCAGCTATAATTCTTCGTCATCAGTCATAGCATCAATAAACTGCACATAGTGCCTTCTAGATGTGGAGCGGGTACTTTCCTTTCCCACACATTGATGAATAATGGCATAGTGGGTACTTTTCTGCTTCAATAAGTTATGGTTTATGGGGCAGTGGGTATTATGTAGGCTTGTGCGAATATTCGAATGCTTCGAATATTTGAACGAATAGTTGAGTATTCGAATTCGCTTCGATTCGAATATAAATTATCGAATATTTTTTAAGTATTCGTAATGAACAAATAAGTATTAATCTGCATGTGACCGCCTGTAAAGATGGTTTCACTGCTATGTAGAAATGCTGAACCGTGAAAACGTTTGCCAGGGGAAACTTGCTTTGCCGCGAAGCCCTTCTTCAAATTTAAAGGGGCCCTGCAACATTTATTGAACATGGTCAGAAAACGCTGCCGATCGGTAGTCGAGGCTACCGAGAACACGCGAGGCAAATATAGCGCATCGCGCTGCTTGTTATTCACAATAAATTTTCAAAGCTAAGTATTGCTTTTTTTCCTCTGCAATTGACACCACAAGCTCAAAGATTACTTGTCACAGCCAAAAAGGAATATACAGCTCTGGTCACAGCCATTGGCTGATTTGAGCATGGCGCGCCGTAGTTACCGAAACCGCCACGGGAGGTCGCCGCTTGTCGGCGAGTACGAGCGCGATCGCACTGAAAAGCCGCGTATTCGAAGCAAAAAAAAAATAATAGGTGCTCAAGGTCACAAAGTGCGTGTTACATTTTTTTTTTTTTTCCTTGCCATTCATCCCTGCTTAACTTTTTTTTTAAGCTATTTAGTCGGGACGAAAAGAGAGAATGCAATTGCAGCGTGCGACAAACATTTGGAACTCCGCTCATACTGGACTGATTCCAGAAACTTTGCGGCGGTAAATTTGTGAGGCAACAAGCACATTCACTGGCTCCATGGCTACTTGAAAAAGTGTTGCAGGGCCCCTTTGAAAAAAACATGTTACCCTCAAATCAATTCTTCATTTTATTAAGCTTGTTATGATGGCGTATATAATCCAACAGTAATAAATTTTAAAACGTTAAGTATTTTATCACTCGCATCCTACCTAAAAAACTACTCAAGGTTGTTTAGACTTCCTTTAAATGGAGAAAAAAAAAGGCATTTGTGTAGAGCCCCTATTTCAATTAAAAGAAATATTGTGCAGTTTAGTTAGGTCATAATAAATATTCCTTTTTTTATATGTCATACCTACCATTCGAATTTGATTCGAAATTATTCGATCAAAATCACTATTCACTTCGAATTCGCTTCGAACCTAACATTCACTATTCGCACAAGCCTAGTATTATGCAAGTATACTTGTAGGGGTAGCCCTCATCGAGTTTACAATCTGTTTGAGAGAAGCTGCTCCTCCAGCTTTTACTCCGACTGTGCTTTGTGTTCGGCAAGCCTGGCATTTTTGTCCAATTATTATTCATCTTTTAAGTTAATGTCATTGCATATGTCATTTCGAGACAGTTTTCTATCAAACGAATTTAAAAAAAAGTGAGCAATGAGGGAAAGTTATTGTTTCATCCCATGGCTCCTGAAGTGTCTGTTTAATAAGCTTACACTGTACTCCCAACAATCCCTTCTTCACCTATTCCCAAACTGTGGCCCAGAGCCATCCTCTCCTTTGAAATAATGGTTCAATTCATTCATTCATTGCTGCAACAGTGTAAGATGGTATGGCTGCTACCATCCAAGGTGCCACTTCATCAAATGGGATGAAGTGTTAGATGTTGGGCTGTGTCATGTTAAAATTTGAGTGCCTTTTATGATGAAACATTCCTGCTGTGTTTTAGCTCTTTTTATTTTTAAATATGTTGCATAATTGTTTGACTAATGATTGATTTCAGAGCACAGTCAATAGAAAAACAAAAGCAGGCTTTTGAAGAAACAACAAGAAGCTTGGGACAACAGCTCATTGACAAAGATCAAAAAAGGTGACTAATCTATCTTTGCTTAGTGCTGCTTCTCATGTACCATGATGTATTTTTGCTTGAGTTTAAATCACTTTTACCTTTTATTCATGCAGTAGTGTGATATGCCTTTAGTTTTTTTATCTTGCCTGCACACAAATGGCCCTGGTTGAACATGGCGAGAGAAAAAAAAAGATGACAACAGGGGCCTGTAAATTGTAATCAGCAGGGGTGAGGGGGCTGTACAGTAAGACAAGACTTGAAGTCCGATCATCTCATTTTTCTCTGTATTAGTATGCCATTTTTTAATTATTAGTGAATCTACGATACAGCTATAAATTTTAATTGATGCTGGTTGGGGTGCTACTGGCAGAAAAAGTTAAATGTATGTCTTTTTTTTTTACCCCTTATTTTTTACAAACCCACCATACAGATACCGAATTCTTCTCTTGCTTATGAATGGTGCGGCTATCATTCGCTGCTGAATAGTTGGTGTTGATCAATTACATGTTGACATTGTTGTCATTGGGTAATGTAGCAAAGGGTTCTGCTGATATGCCAGATTGTCATAACAAACATGATACATTTAAATTCGATAACTATATCAAGATTGGGCTTTTTGTCTAATGCTAGCCTATGTTTCCTGTTTTCCTGTTCTGCAGTGCCCAAAAATTTTAATAGAACATTCTCACCTCCTTAGCATGACTTGAAAAGAATGCTTATGTGCTGGCTTGTATTTGAGCACCTATTTTGTGTGAGAAGCACAGCAACAGGACCCATTATGGGTTAGATTGTATCTAACTTCTTGAAGCATACATTTTTTTTTCTTTCATTCTGTTGGCTGAGAGATTGCTCGATATTTTACTGAGTGCCATCAAGTTTTTAATATGAGTAAACAATGTGCTATAGATCTGCCTTTTCACCTATCTCATTCACTTACATGTAGTATAATATTCTTGCTTAAAAAAGTCAAGTGGACGTCAACTTTTATATATTGCTTCTATATTAATCTTTCAAATTCACTAATAAGACATTATCTATACAAGTATGGTGTAATCTCTGATCCATTGTTAAAATTTAGTAGCAAAAGGTTACGCCGCACAAATTAAGATCTATAATTTTTTGTCACATGCATTACTTTATTGTTGTTGGTGAAATTGAGTGAATTGTGTTTGTTTCTTTGTTTGTTTTCCTCTTCATGATGAAACTTGGTGCATTCAAGACTTGCTGAAACAGAAGTGATAAAGAGAGAGAGAAATGTGGGGCTTTTTTTTTTTCCAGTGTTAATAAACAGATTAGTACTGTGTATACAGACTACTCAATATCAGCAGGCAATTTCTTTGACCGTTGGATGAGTGCAGCGGTCATATTAGTAAGTTTGTTTACACGCAACAGCTTCTATATGTGAACCTCGGGGCTCTTTTGGAAATGTATGCGTATTAGTATGTCATAGTTCTCTGAAAAACATCCTTCGAGTCAGGATTTTAACTCAGGTTGTCGGGGAAACAACTACTATTTGGCATTTTCTAAGTTACTTATCCACTTAAATGGAATAAGGAGTGCAGTGATGTTATAGCTACACCGATTGCACCAAACTGTGCCTACAGGTGAAACTGTCTACATCCTACAAAATTTTTGCAAAAATCTCATAATTTGCTCTCGAGTGTACCAAGACATTGTTTTTGCAGTGTTTTGGAGAAAAAGAAGACTAGCATGCTTCCAAACAATATTTAAATAAACATTGCAATTTTGAGAGGTCACTGAAGCATTATGACAACTGCTACTCAGTTATCGTAGTTGCTACGAGAAGCCGTGCCAAACAATTAAGAATGGTTTATACTGGGTGGGTGAAGTTTTCTAATATTATAGAGTATGTTGTGACATTACATTATTAAGTTTAGTTATAGCTTCTGTTGTGGAGCAAGCTAGAGACAAAGCTATTTTATTGATTCCATTAACTACAGTGGGCTGTGCATTTATGTGCTTGAATAGACCATTTTGTTATAGTTACTTCTTTTATAAAAATGTACTATTTCTTGTAACGTGCTTTTATATAAGTTCATGCAGGGCACTTAATTCTTAAGGTAAATCTGACAGTAGAATCAGCAGACATTATCGATTATCCCTCATGCTGCATTGTACTGTGGGGTTTGGCAAAAGAAGCATGGTGTCCTAGCATCCCAGTATCTTGGTTCTTTTTCTCGACCACAGCAACAGTTAGTGTGTGAAAATATTTGCTTGAAAGATGTGGTGCAGACTTAAAATGAAGAAGACCGCTCCACGTCTTTGAAGTAACAATGCACCCATTGGCCCAACATAGCATATAGTATGAAACTATGCTCAAGTAAAACATGAAAACTTCAATTACTGTCAAATTTCATTGAGCTCAAAATATCTATTGGACAGAAAGGGCCGATTATTAAACTCTGTACATTGTTAACCTTCGATGAACTAGTATCTGAAGGATTTTGTCTATAAAACAGAACAGCAGATACATTACTATGCAGCAAAGCCCTAGATTGTTCTGAAAATACAAAAATCATAAGGATAGTTGTGCTGGATAGTAAATGGAATGCATGGAAAATCTGCAATACTTGTGCTCTTAGTACTGTAACTGAGGCATCTAGAAAAGTCATATTTATTTTCAAGTATGAGGTAGATTTTGGAAAATCGTTAGGTGCTCTGAGGTCATGGCACTAAAAAAACTTTAAGCTGTCTACAGGTGAATGCAGAGCAGTAATTTAATTTTACCTTTTAAGATATTATTAGTAAAGATACCCTTATTAGTGCATCAATCAACTTTTTAGTCATGTAGTACAACTGGTTGAACTCAGAGGCAAATATTTGCATTGAAGAATATTTGCTTGGTAACTGCTCCAAATGTTTGTCATGCTGCTCCAACGCAAGGTTTTAGTGCTCCGCAAGCTGCATCGAAGTTGCTTTGGTACATCGCATCACTAGGAATGCTATCATGACCTATTTTAAGCTTTATTTTAAAAGTAACAAGTGCCAGTGAATATAAAACATATACACCCTCATTCCAAAATCGGACTGTACTTTCAGGATGCCACGTATTCGTATGTGCTAAGGGCGTTTTATGTCTAGCGGTGAAATGTGTGATGTGCCCATTGTATGTTTAATGTTTATGTGGAATAAAATGTTTACGATAATGGTGGTATTAGATACTTCATTTCCTGTGTCAATACTTTAACCAACATATACAACGACTTCATAGCTACCTTACTTCTCCACAAGAAAAGCAACAAAGTTGCTAATAAAAAAAGAGTCAGACAAGGAGATATAACATCCCCAATGTTGTTCACTGCATGTTTGAAATAAGTAGTCTTGATGGCTTATAACATGATTCGTGGGAGTCACGAATATCCGCACTAAAAGGGTTATCGCGCTACAACCAAAACAGCCTTTTCCAAGGGCCACATTTAAGCAAAATGTGTTGAGCACGCAGCCTCATGTCTCCAAGAATCTAAGCATGTGATGCGTGTAGCTTACAACCAGTTAAATTTCTGAATGCTAAAAAAAATTTAACGTCCTAAGGCGCGCGTTCCCAACAAAATGAACGTGGAAAGAGGGGGTGGGGTCTAACAAAAGAAAGCACCATCGCGGAAATTCGCCGACTACTTCCAAAATCGCCTCGATTATGTGCATTACACGGAAACTGTCGAATCACATCCAAAGTTTAGCACGCTGAAAGACATCAATCATTCGATATCACGGACACGAACACGATTTCCAGACATTGCAAACGAACCGCGAACCACTATTTGAGCGATACACGTGTCACCCTTGTTTTTATTAATTACATGTATCCCTTCTCATCAAGTGCAGCCACCGCAGAGTTTCGTTGATTTCGTAGCAAACCGCAACTTAGATAGCACGCGACCACTACCGCAACGCAAGCAATGCCTATTAGGCCTAGCGTGCTGTTCGGTATGTTGCTGTGGGAAGTTTGTCCAAGACAAGAAGATACAGTGTTGAAAAGATCGCACTCAAGGACTGAGCTAAGAACAGCGTGCTTGATACAAAGTTTGTAGGTGCGGCCTGGAGATCAACGACGAATACCCGCTAAGCTGCTTATAAAGCAGGCAGCGCACTGGCAGCAAAGGTGAAAGCTTATCATAAAGCCGTTAGAGGCATAAATTTGTAAACGAGTTGCAAACGCGCTATCTGTAGCAAGCTCGATAACAACGACATTTTACCAGACAGGAAACTGTTAAGCGCAGTTGATATGGATGGGATCCCACGTGCCATGCTGAGCCACGCACGGCCGGAGCCATGCTACCGACGCTATACTCTGAGACAACAGTACCGTAGGTGCCAGTGCAAAAGATTATCCGTCGCCTAGGCAACTGCCTTTTTTTTTCCTTTTCTTTTTCTTCCCACCGCTCTTCATTTGTTCACACCGCGTCCCCTCCTCCTCCTTAACGACCTCGTCGCTTGGTCTACAGCGGTGCACCCACCGCACCTCCTTTCACACACGCACTCGCTACTGCATTTGTCACCAATATTTTCCGGCAACTGCACCAGAACCGGTCTTTCAGCTTGGGGGACTGCACAATAAGTGATACATGGGGTTCTGGAGGGTAAAGGGGAGTCACAAAAGACTGCATTATAACTGCTTCTATACTATAAGCAGCTAGGTTAAAAGTGGTCTACACTGTATTTAAACAGCCAGACTGGGAAGAGACTGGAATCAAGGTTAATGGAGAATGGTTCAACAACCTGTGATTTAAAAGTGACAGTGCTCTTCAATAACGATAACAAATAATTGCAAAAAAAGCTTGAAGAATTATACCGAGAAAGTATTGAAGTATGCCTAAAAATAATTAAAATGTAAGTCTTAGTTGGTCTAAAATAAACTCTACTGTAACCGGAGTTTTTTCCCATACTTTTGCTACCTGTGGTTGACCCTGAGTTACAGGAGAATACGAAAATTCAAGTTGCCGAAAAAGTACAATAACACACAAAGTTTTTTTTTTTTCGTGTACTCAATGAAAAGTTGCGCCTCGCGTTGCAATCATGGTCTTGTTACAATCAAGTAAATACAGTAAAGTAGTGAAGTTGTCAATAGTCTTGAAAAACACGTCAAGGGAAACGACTGCATGTGACAATAGGGGCTTTTAGGTTCTATGTATACTTCTTTACGTTACCATGTTACCAGATACCTGATAGAATCTGCGTATGCGCGGGTCTTTACTGAACGTAAACCTTTACGTAACGTAAACTACCCGCCGAATAGGCTTTACGTTTCCTACTCATCTCGCAAATCCACCTTCGTTCATAAAAACTCGCAGTATTCGCACAGCGGAGATTCGAGCCGTCAAGTTAAAATAAGCCGAAGTGTGAGCACCAATAGCGATTACATTGTTTCAGCCAGATTACCAAAGCTAGAATGGCCTAGAACGTAGTCGCCGTAAACATGCGAGCCTTCGAAAAGATGGATTGATGGCGCCATCTGGCGGCGTCGTAATGAACCAGGTAATCACAAAATTGTTATTGCAGAAATATCAGGCATTGTAAGCCTGGTGCAAAAACCATGCAGCGGTGTTATTACAAATGAGTTACCTTTTTAATCATTTTCACCTAAAAAAAATTACACCCAAATTAACATGTTCATGACTGTGGTTGCACGAAATGGCACAAGATGTCGACACCTTTGTTGGTGTCGTAACCACCATCGTTGGTGCACTAACCTTGTATTTTTCATGCTTTTGCGAATATGAGGATACTGTACACAATAAAAAATGTCTTGTGATTTTACGGCAATGTTGATCCAATCCTATGTAAGTTAAATGCTGTTTAAATGCAGTTAGCATCATCATTCATGGTTTGAAAAAACGTAAAGGTATATGTGTTTATGTACGTACACATTTACGTATGAAGAGCTAAAACATTGAAAGACATGCATTCTGGTAAGATGGTAAGCGTAAACCAGTATCCGGCAACATGTTAATGTAAAGAAGTATATGTACAAGTTAAAAGCCCCCCTTGTGTCGGGAAAGCAGGGAAAGTGGCCATGCGACACAATTTGAGCATGTATTTTTCATCGGTTCTTCTGGTGCTGTGGAATTTGCCAATGTTGTAGCGCACGTGGCAACGCTGAAATCGAAGCAGTTATTATTTTAATTCACAGGACAAACTACCCTAATTTTTGACTACAGCGACACACATTGGCTATTTTTTATGGGAAGTGACGTTATGTCACGACAAAGACCGTTTGGTTTTGATTGGCTTGACACGACAAGTAGCATGCACTGTTCATGTGGTGATAGCTAGGCCATATGAGAGAATGGTGCAGAACAATGAACGTGACACTTAGTCTGTGAACAAGGCTATGGTAGGCCAGCAACTAAAGATGGAAATTCATGCCGCATGTTTATCAAGCCCAAAATGTGACATGCGGCGGACACTGACGTTGCCGTCGAACGCATCTTGCATGCAAACCGAGAAGTGACCCCGCCCAAAGCGTATGCACAGTGTGTCCGTGGGAGCGTCTGCTACCTGACGCACATGGGTCATAGTAACCATGCAAACGATGCCATCAAAAAGAGCGGTAGCGAGGTATTTTGTGAAGGTCACCATGAGGTGACATTTTTGGTATGTCTTTATGAGACGTGCGGTGTGATTAGAAGCGGTCTTTGATGTCAGCAGGCAAGTGAAATGTGAAAAAGAATGTTTCTCGTCATTGTCTGCTCAAGTTTTAAACTTAGAGAACTCATAATTTCTCTTTTCATAAAACTCATAATTTCTCTTTTCGAGAACTCATAATTTCAATTATTCTTGTTGGATTCATCTCGGCAATCATTGCTCCACGCCTTTCTGTGCTCTAAGTAAAGATGTCACAAAAGTGTCGCAGTGCCCCTTTAAAGATAATCTCAGCTTATCGAAAGCAAACTAGGATTTCTTGAAGATGAGTAAACTACGGTAGGAGATGTTTGCTATAAGGATGTTATTGAGAAACACAAGAAAGTACTGTGACTAGATACACAAAGCTTAGAATCATGCTCGCTCTTTTTACTGTGTTCCATGTTAGGTTGGAAAAAGGTTGCAGTTCCTTCTTGGGGTTATCCAAATGCACCACATGACCAAGAGTTTCATACATTCATACTTTTGCCAAAAAGCCTGCACATGCATTCTGCGTGTTCTTACCCAGGTCCCTGTTGGAATCTGACCTAAAGATTGAGCGCGAGTGGCGAGTGTCACTGCAAGCCACGGTGGCTGAACAGCAGGAGGAAGTCTCGAAGCTGCAACGAGGCATTGATGCCTACCAACAGATGGCACAGGTATGTCACTTCCTCTTTTTTTCGCATCTCTTGGACTGCTATCTTGTGCTGTGTACAGTGAAATAGTGCTTTTTGTTCATTCTGATGCTCTTAACACTAGATTTTGTTTCTGTTGAAGAGTGTTTTCATTTTACAACTAATGTTAATCAGTGCTTACCACTTCTCTCACCTTCCCAATATATTGTGGGTTTTAATGCACAACGTTATTTAGTGAGTCAGGCTAAAAATGTTTTCCGTCCATCTTCTTCCATCTTCTTTCTGCCCTGGAAGATGTGGCGTGATCTTGATCTTGGAGATACTCTAACACTGGGTTGGCATGTGGCAGAGAACAGGCTTCCTGGACCCATTATTGACCCCTGTCATAATACATGATGGAATGAGTAGTTTAATAAGCTTATTATGTAAGTGCTAGAGGATGGCACGTGTGGGACAGTAACGAGGCATGTGCAGTTAAATGTCATACTTGACCAATAGACCTATACTCAGTATAGCATGATTAAATGCATACAAGAACAAAAAAAGGGAGGCACCCACAAGAGAGAATGCAAGGATTTTGTGCATGGGAGGCACTAAAAATGTGAAATGCAAGACTGTGTGTGTATGTATGTATCTAAGTTGTCTTTAATATCACATGCACAAGCAATCATCACTTTAACCACGACATGTGTACGAAAAAGCTGAAATGACAGCATAAGGCAAGCTCAACGTATCCTTATCTTAAATAATGCCCGTTCAAGGAAGCTGTGTTTTTATTTTTGTCTGTAATGCTGATGTTAGCATAGTTCACAGGAACAGAAACGGTGATGCAGGCACGATCATTTGAGTATGATAGTAATTACTCTTGCAGTAGGTACAAAAAAGGGTGTACAATTTTGTCGGTCTATATACTTATCAGTTTAGCAATCATTTCAGGAGCCCAGTTTAGTTTCTGTGTAACCAATATATAATGTGGTCATCTACTGGGGTGCCTCTTGTGTAAAGAGTGCCTTATGATAGTTATGAATGAGGTTAGAAGAATAGTTTTATATTAAAAAGGCTCAACGAAAATTTGTCACCAGTTTTCAACTATGTTACTTCAGTCAGCACAAAAATAATCAATTTTTCTAAGTTTGAGCTTGTTTCTTTGAACAACCATATGATTTCTTGTACTAATAAATTCATTCGTCATTGCACGTTTTTTTATGATAACACTTAGCTGAATCTTGTGTGTGATTTCAATCATTACACTTGTTTTAATACAGTATCTTGGACTCTTGTTACCAAGGCTCACATCTCTTGTAATTTATTAAACTTTTGATGGTACCAAACACACATTCTTTTTAAAAAAAGGTTCTAATGACAATATTTCTGCTGATTGATTAAAATGCTATGTATCATACTGCCTATTAAACTCTCATAATTCAGATAAGGTCAATAATGTTATTAGTTATGTACCTATAGTAACCAAATGTACTTTTATGCCGATTGGAACTGTTTGGTAGGCTTGTATGTCCGCCCAGAAGTAATTGGCATATACATAATCACTTTTCTATTGGCTTCATTGAGTACAGGCGCTTGATGTGCGTAAGTAGAAAGCCAATAGGGTGGCCAGTTCGTTTGCCTATGCTTCGATCTTTTCACAGACTTAAGTTGAACACCACTCATAGGCTGGGCATGCTTCATTTTTTCAGGACCACGAAAAGCTGAAAGTGGAGTTTTCTGAAATGGAAAGAAAGTGTGCTGAACACGAGCTCACATTAGAAGAGCTAGGCTGCCAGTTGAGCGAGTAAGACATTTTTCTATGTATGTTTTTTTTGCAAATGGGAGGTAAGCAATTAACATAGTGTATATGTTTATATCTATAATTTTGAAAGTAGATGCTCATACACAAGGCAGATAGCAGTTGTCATCAACGTGTTGTACTGCGGCTTGAAAGATGTGAAAACAGAGAACGAGTGCTCTTTCTCAGGGTCACATTTGTTCAAAGTTATTCTGATACTTTGTACACTATAGCACCCTTTACAATCTTCAGTCCAACTTTCAGGACAATAAATCAAACCAGTAAGAGCCTTAAAAGGCGAACTGTGACAAAATATCATTGTCGATAAATTGTCTATAAATATATAGTATCACCAAAGTGATATAGGCAAAGTTGCAAGGCTGGTTATTGTTTAATTTTATTTGCTGTCTTTCAATAACAACTAGGCAGGTGACATATGCACCCGGTGTCTAGGCAATGTGACATAAGTCACATGGCATGTTGCTTTCAAGGTTTTTCCAGCCTAATCTCAGAGGTGATGTCAAAGAGCTGCACATACTTAGTTGTGGGTCTCTTCTGGTAAGCAGCAATTCTGGAGTTTTACTGTGTTTTACAATTATATCAACAATCATATGGACATTCTCGGCCTCTTTTTGCCATTGACATCGCTGTCGTGCCGCCTCACCTATATATATATCTGTGTGTGTGTGTGTGTGTGCGTGTGCGTGTGCGTGTGTGTGTGTGTGTGTGTGTGTGTGTGTGTGTGTAAGCCAAAAAGAAAAATAATTCATAAAAATATTTTCCAGCTTACGGAATTGAACGGGCAACCTCTCATTCAGCAGTGTTCACCGTTAGCCCACTAAGCTACAACAGCGCATGTCTTTCAGAATACTAACAGCAAGCTATTTATGCACACCATATACCGATGGTGCTACACCAATCTTGGGGGAATGTCAGAGTGTTCTGTGCATTACCAGCGAGATGGTGCGAAGGGAACGCTGGGCATCCTGCTTGTTGCGATCTGTGCTCTTGTCTGTAAACATGTACATTGCCCTACAGCGCGTGGTCACCTGTGCACGCTTATCTCGTGATGAGGGAGGTTTGTAAGTCTTGAGCAAGTGGAAAGATTGCATTGTAGTTGCAGACCGCAGAAAGGTGACATTGCTCGTTAACAAAGGAGCGCGCTGTTCAAACACAATGAAGTAACAGCTGTGAAACATGTTCGTGTTCATTTTCGTTTATACGTTTTGTTCGTTCTTTGCGTTCGAGCAGTGCCTTAAATGTGGTGCTGTGAACGTTGTCAGTTCGTGCCCACCATGTGTGTGTTGTTTTTGTGCGTTCTTTGATCTTGAGCAGTGTGCTGCACGTTTCGATCTGCTTCCCATTCTTCGTGTGTCAATCCAATTTGTTGCAATCACATTCATTGCTTTGCTCTTACAGCAAAACTTAATTTTTGTAGTGTATGAATTTGTTTATTTAGCATCTTATTTTGCATTTCTATTATTGAATACCCTCATACTTCAAGTAAATTTTAGCACTGCTCTATATTTGTGATATCGGAAACAGTAAGTTCTCGCACTGTCCTAAGTATTGTACTTTCCCTGTAACAACAGTGCTGTGTTCTGGCAGTGTTGGTTCAGATTTCAGTCTTCTAAGGATACTAAATTTTATGCTGTCTTGGCGGCCATTATGCAAAATGCTTTATAGCTGTTTATTAGCCTGAGAAACTACATAGTGCTGTGTTATAAACACAGGTCCAAGCTTCAGGTGGCTGACTTGAAGGAAAACAACATGACCTTAAAAGAAGCCGTCTGGACTAGTGATAAGGATGCCTCTTGCTGTCGTCAGTGCAGCAAGCCGTTCTCTGTCGCCAGGCGAAAGGTGAGCATGCATCGATGGCAGACTTCTCACCTAGGTGAAAAAGGAAAAAATGAAACCGTATCACTATCGAACTGATAACTGGCTATAACATGTGAATATTGCAATGGAAATGGAAATGTCACAAATTGTAGCAACAGAATGGAGCATTCTTTTTATAGTAGAAATATGTTTAAATTGCATTTGACTGTCATAAAAAACCAGTACCTCACGCTGCCTTGTGAACAAATTCCTTGTTCTGTGCAAAAAAGTAGTTTAGATTGCTTGTACATAGTCTTTTGTTTTTAGGGGCTCCACAATTCACAATTTATTAAACTGTGTATATTATCAGGCATTCCCGTTTTATTCCATAGTTGTTGCAATACAAAATCAAGTTGGTACTGAGAAGTAGTGCAGCTTCTTACAGAAGTGCATGCAGTTTTCTGTTGCAGTGTTCCCTCTCTCTTTCTCTCCATTGCTAGAGGGCACAGCGAATAGCCAACTCGCTGACATGTTGCATTACGTACGTGTGGTCAGGCCTTTACGCTTAGGTTGGCAGGCGCTTCGCGCGACTCGCGGAGCGGCATGGGAGGAATCACAAGTCAATGTATAATCTGAAGTTCTACATCAGCAGCACTGGCCTTTGATATTTAAAAAAAAAGGACACCTGGCCAATGCAGGCAGTGCTAATAGTGTTTTTTGCATGCATCAAAAGGTGTTACCACATACACCGCCCTCCCTTTTTCTGATTGCCTTCATGCTGAAGGAATAGTAACGGGTTGCGTGGCACTCTGCAAAAGTCGTTAGGGTTCCCCCAGGCCAAAAAGCTTGAGAAACCCCGCATTAGAGCATTGAGAGTAGACAAATTTGATGTATGAATTTACATTATAACAGAACTTGTTGTTGGAATAGTTGGCTGGTAATTTCTAAAAAGTTAATTTGAGCACAAACACATGACACACTGAGGCACACATGCACTCAGGCAAAAAATTGTATGTTTTGATAGTGTGTGCTGTTAGCCTTTTCTGATGTTAATGTGCGCATGTGCCATTTGTATATATTCTTGCCTTCGTGCTATGAATAAATCAGTTGAAAGTACCGTATTTACTCGATTCTATCGTGCCCTTGATTGTAACGCGCACCCGGTTTCCACGACGAAAAAAAAAGAAGTAAGATAACGATTGCAACGCGCACCCATTTTTCTCGTTGGCCCGCACGATCACACCACTCGGGAAAACGACTCCTTTCGCGAGCGTCTTCCGTTTAAATATGAGGTACGGGGGAAGCTTGGGCCTATCTGACGTGCAATGGAGCATTGCCGTCACTCTAGTTTTACTGTGGCCCGATGTCAGCACGCGAACTTGCTTCGCCCCCTTCTTCTCGACGGTTGTGGTTCCAGGCATGTCGAAGTAAAGAGGCGTCTGATCGGCATTCCCGATTTGCCCAAGCAGGTAGCCGTTGTTGTGCCGCAAGTTTGGGACAAACCTCTGAAAACTGTGAAGCTTTTCTTCGTACTCCTCCGGCAACTTTTGGCATATGCCAGTTCGCCTTCGGAGGGAAAAACCTTTCCTCTTCATAAAGTTAGTTAGCCAGCACCTGCTCGCTTTGAACTGGCTTCACATTAGCCCTTTTTCTAAGGCTAACTGCATGGCCTGCACTTGGAGCAGTTCTGTCGTCACGGGCCGCTCACTGCTCAATCATATACTCGCCGAGCAGCTCTTCAATTTGCGGAAACCGACCCTGCTGTGGTCCACTGAAGCCTTTGCGTGAATGTTTTGCTGTCGACAATATTCTGCTTTTGTTTCTGCCAGTCCCGCACGCACGTTTCGGGAACTCTGAACGACCGCGATGCGGCCCGATTTCCGTCCGTTTCGGCACACGCGATCACATTTCTTTTAAAAGCGGCATCGTGGTGCACTCATCAAGTTTTCGGAGTCGGCCCTTCCATGCCGTCGATGCTAATGCACTACAATATGACGAACTCCTCAGCACACGTACGAAGTGCCGCACATGGGAAACACACAGGCAGAAATGGCCGACGCGCCATGCCGACACACGTAGGGGGCGGCCATTTTGGAAATGCCAATGGCAATAGAATGACCGTATTAATTTTTTTTTCGTACGCGATTCTAACGCGCATGGGATTTATGAACTCGCTTAATTGGCAAAAAGGTGCGCGTTAGATTCGAGTAATTACGGTAAGTGCTGTGTCTGTTTCCCCCCTGATGACGCTCCAGCTTGTGGTCCTTCAAATAAAAAGAAGACTAAGCATGCTTGCTAACCATATTTAAGTTACCATTGTAACTCTGAATGGTTATTAGAGCATACTGCTGAGTGCTTGGTAGAACGCTGCCAAACAGTTCTGACTGGCCCATATTGTGGAAAGTTCTATGCTACTGCTAGACCATTCAGTAAGGTTAGGTTATTAATTTCAGTAAAGTAGTGTGTAGCCATTATGGACCATGCTAAAGACCACGCTATTTGGTTTATCTCATTAACTACAGGGAGCAGTACATGTATGTGCTTGAACAGACCACCATTTTTTTATACTTAGCTTTTTTGACAAAAATTGCGCCACTTATTGTAATGTGCTTCCATAAAAGTTCGTGCAGAGAACTTAATTTTCAAGTTTAGTCTGACCATACTACCACGCGGTCATGACGTGACTGAAGGCAGGAGACTGAAGGGTCAGACCAAACTGTTTATTTGGGTGAACCTGTGCCCGGTAAACGGAAAGTTGGGTTACAGTAGCCCTTGCACTGATAGCGGCGAATGCAGCGTCACCCGCCGATCAACTGACAAGCGGCGAAGATGATGGCATTTATACACTCGTCATTGAACATTATAGCGTTATTGCTAGCGGCGACGTAGATTCTAAGATAATCTGAAATGCTCACGAAGTGGGTATAATCTCAACAAAATGATCTACTGCAGTCCTGAAGCTTCTTGAACACTGTAGGAGCAGTTTTCACTGAAAATCGCACAACAGCGAAACGGGGTGATAAGAAAACTGATAAGATAATGGGGTGATAAGAAAGACGTCGTACTACTCTGTATGGTCCGAAGTACCAGCCCAAAAGTTTTTCGCTGAGTCGACGTCGGCGTATCGGCGTCCATACCCAAACACGTTCACCGGGCTGGTATTCGACGACGCGTCGCTGAAAATTGTGGCGACGGTCGGTCGTCTGCTTATTCTTGATGCGCAGGCGGGTGAGTTGACGAGCTTCTTCAGCGCGCTGAAGATAGAGGGTGACGTCAAAGTTTTCTTCGTCAGGGACGTTGGGCAGCATTGCGTCGAGCGTCGTTGCCGAGTTCTTTCCATTGACCAACTTGTACGGTTGCATCTGTGTCGTCTCCTGCACGGCTCTGTTGTATGCAATGGTCACGTATGGAAGGATGGCGTCCCACGTCAAGGTACATGGCCAGCATGTCGGCGATTGTCTTGTTTAGCCAATCGGTGAGACCATTTGTCTGTGGGTGGTAGGCGGTGATGCGGTAGTGGCTTGTCTGGCTATGTCTCAAGATCGCTTGAGTCAATTTAGCAGTAAAGGTTGTACCTCTATCGGTGATGAGAACCTCTGGGGCGCCATGACGAAAGATGATGTTCTCAACGAAGAACTTGGCTACCTCTTTGGCGCTACCTTTGGGTGGGGCCTTTGTTTCAGCGTAGCAGGTGAGGTAGTCAGTAGCTATGATGATCCATTTGTTTCCCGAATCCGACGTCGAAAACGGCCCCAGTAGGTCCATCCCGAATTGTTGTTGTAACAGTTGGTGATGTGGTTTGATTGGCTGAAGAAAGCCTGCTGGCCTTGTCGGTGGTGTCTTGCTTCGCTGACAGTCTGGGCATGTCCTCACGTAATGAGCGACGTCGGCGGTGAGGCGCGGCCAGTAGTACCTTTCTTGTATCTTCGCGAGCGTACGGGAAACACCAAGGTGTCCTGCCGTTGGATCATCCTGCAAGGCCTGGAGGAGGTTTGGTCGCAGAGCTGAAGGCACCACAAGAAGGTACTTGGCTCGAAGCGGCGAGAAGTTCTTCTTTTGGAGAAGGTCGTTTCGCAGCGAAAACGAGGTAAGTGCCGTTTGAATACTTTCGGAACAACGGAGGTCCTGCCCTCGAAGTATTCTATTAGGCTCCTAAGTTTCGAATCAGGGTGCTGGGGTTTAGCAAAGTTGTTGGCAGTTATTCCCAAGAAGCAGTCATCATTCAGGTCTTTGGGCAGTGGTGGGTCGACGTGGGGCTCGCAACAGGCAGTCGGCGTCCGAGTGTTTTCTGCCAGACTTGTAAATGACGGTAATGCCATATTCTTGAAGTCTCAGGCTCCATCGGGCAAGGCGACCTGAAGGGTCCTTCAAGTTAGCTAGCCAACACAAGGCGTGGTGGTCGCTCACAACTTTGAAACACCTGCCGTAGAGGTAAGGACGAAACTTTGATGTCACCCAGATGATGGAAAGGCACTCCTTTTCTGTTGTCGAATAATTGATTTCTGCCTTGGGTAGTGAACGGCTAGCGTAAGTAATAATGCTTGCCAGTTCATCAGTTCTCTGCACAAGACGGGGCCGAGTCCTACGCTGCTTGCATCAATGTGCGTCGTCCAAGTAAACGAGACAAGTCTGCCACTTCAATCCTGCCAGCACTGTGTCCATAACGTGCTGAAAAGTCGCAGGTGCCGAGCGAAGACCGAAAAGCATCACCTTGAACTCGAAAAGGTCGTCTGGTGTTATAAACGCAGTCTTTTCTCGGTCTCTCTCGTCTACTTCGATCTGCCAATAGCCTGTCTTGAGGTCCATCGGTGAAAAGTATTTGGCATTGTGGAGATCAAGGGCGTCGTCTGTTTGGGGGAGAGGGTATACGTCCTTCTTTGTTATCTTGTTGAGTCGGCGATGGTCAATGCAGAAGCGTAGTGTTCCGTCCTTTTTCTTCACTAACACCACCGATGAAGCCCATGGACTATTTGAAGGCTGGATAATATCGTTGCGGAGCATATCGTCGTCTTGTTTTTTTATGGCCTCGCGTTCTTGTGTCG